CTGCTGCTTCCGAGCTGGGTCAAAGAACGGCCCGAACAAATGGGGAAAGACTGAGAAGGTTATAGATTTCTTTGTCTGCTTTTGCACTTTACTTTTTTTCTAAGGCAATTCTCAGAGCAGCGAATCCACCATGTGCTGGTTAAATGTGTGCATTCAGCCATTAAAGAGTGGGCCCTGGGCTCACACCGTTGCTACCCAGGGGCTGAATACATGCCACAGGTCAAGAAAATTAAGAAATAAAGTTCTAAGCGTGCACGGAGTTTAATTTGCCCTTTTCGAGACTGGAAGAATGCATAATAAAAGTCCGAAACTTGCGCGTTCGTTCCGCATCCTAAATGCTATCTGTATTGACAGCTCCACTGGGTTAGGCCTCTGTTCTAAGGGACGCTGGGAGTTCTGCCTCAACTTAGAAATCCCTGGTAAAGTGCCTAGGTAATAAGACGGGACCGCCCGCCTAATGTACTCAGTCAAGATGGCTGAGCTCTCCTAAATAGCAAACCCTGCCTTTGTCAGCGCGTCAAATCTGGATCAAGCTAGTATTGTATTTCGATATTGACAGTTTTCTGCACACTGGCTTTGGGGGAGTTGGCGGTCCCCCTTTCCTACAAGGTTTAGGGGTAGACAAAATAATTCGAAGTCTTTAAAGTTGCGATAAATATGTTGACACCAACAGTAGAGTTGGCTATGAAGGGAAAGAGGGGAAAAAAGAAGCGATTTCTGAGATGGTGAGGCAAGCCTAGCACTTCGCTGAGGGAAGAGGAAAAGCAGTGGGGAAGTAAAGGAAGGCTCCTCCCCCAGCATGTACTGTTTGCTTTGCATCTAATGAAGGGTACAGGGGCCTTTCTCTGCTATTGTTGCCTGAGGCCTAGAATTTAAATATATCACAGAAGGAAATTCCATATTAAAAACCCTTCCCCTAAAATGTAAGTAAGATTATTCTTGATTGAATTTTTTTTTCACTAAAGGAATGTTCCTTGAAGTCGTTTCAGAAAATAAAACTCTTAAATTTTCCTCAGGCCCGTGAAATTACCCTGGAGAAACAGACCACCACCTATTTCTTGACTGCTACTGTAGAGACCATCTCTCCAACTCCCAAATCGAGGTACATGGCTTGACATGTGCTTTGGGACACAGGTGCTAACTAACCCTACAGAGTTTAAATGATTTCCTAAAACAAGCTCTTGTGTTTTGCACAGCCACGTGAGGGAAGGTCTGGCTAGTGGGAGCTATTGATAATCTCAGACGGCGACCTGAAGACTGATTTTACTCCTTGCATTCAACCTGCTTCGAGGCTGTGCCAGGACAGCTTTATTTGCAGACCAGAATTTCAGCTTTGGTCCTTTTCTTCCCACCTCTTGAAAGACAAAAAGTGAAATGGCCAAAGGCAGATTCCAAGAAAAAGAAAGGTCTTGAGTTTTGTGTTAACCCAAGACCTTGCCCCCAAGAAAATCAAAATTAATGTCAAATTCCTCTTTCCAAAACTCCATCCATTTTTGCCATTCTCTAGATAATTTTAGGTAATATTTTTATGGTGTGTGTGTGTGTGTGTGTGTGTGTGTGTGTGTGTCCGCGTGCGCGTTCGCACGCACATGCGCACGCGTGTTTTCATAGACATTAATTCAATAGTCCTTTTATTAAATTAGATTTTTGGGTTCGGGCTGGATTGGGTTTAAAGTCTTATATTGCAATCCAGGCTGGCCTTAGATTCACAACAGTCCTTTACTTCTGCTTCCTAAGGGCTGGGATAGTAGGTGCGTCCTGCCGTGCCCACCCACCCTTCCTGAAAGTTCCTGAGATGAAAAGATAACAAAAAGTAACATTATGTGCAACTATGTTAAATAGTAAATACCATGGTAGCAAAAATAATTGACCAGTGCCCTTAACAATTAGGAAAGATGGATATCCAGGATGTATGATGGCCCGTCATCCTAGAAGGAATCTATGAAGGACAACCAATCAAAAGAGCCCTGTTAAAGTCAAGGGTTTAGAAGGCACACCTTGCATGGAAACCTGCCCTGGTGAGGCCTGGCCAACAGAAATGGAGATGGGTTGAAGTCTGATACAATACATTGTATTTCTGCTCTAGAAGCCATGGTGGAAACTTCATATAAAGTTGTTTTGGTCCAACATAGTGGAGACACAAAGACCTGTAAGAATAAAGACTTTAAAAACTGCTACCCCCCCCCCCCCCCCCCCCCCGCACAAAAAAAAGTCTGGAATGGCATCATCACAGACAAGGAGAAATGCCATAGAATCTAGATGTAAATTTTAATTCTTTACATAAGTGGTACAATCATTAGTACATTGGCCCACTTGTTCCCCAGAGAAGTTATATACTAATAGTAACTTTGTTGCCCTGCCTTCAGTCTTCCACTAGTCATTTGCTGGTGAATTGGTGAATACTCGTTTGTGGCCAGCATCATTTGATCTTTTCCTGCTCAATATCCTGCTTACCCTACCCTGCCTCATCCCAGAACATGTAAATACCAAACTCATTTTTCAGATGTAGGCCTACCACTCCCCTGGTGTCCCAAACAAGGGGATTACTTCAGTACCTTATGTCTCTAAGTATCAAATATCCATCCATAACTCCCCCACATCCATTCCTAGACATGCTGAAGCCAAAGTCATTTTATGTGGAAAATATTTTAAACAAATCATGACACTCACTCTTCAAAGGTATTTTGAAGCTTCTCAACAGTTCCCAAGTGACAATTACTCTACGCCTCGACTTTACCTCCAGTGACTGCCATTGCATGAACTTCAAGTCAGAAACTTTCACTCCCTGTCCCCAACATTAAATATGTCCTGCCTTTTAGGACACACAGGCCTGTGGTGGACGGCCTCCTCCATGAGTTAGTGCCCCTAGCCCCCAGGTAAAGATGCCCAAGAATGAAGTCCAGTAAGTTTTGTGTTCTGTCCTATTTCTGCCACCATCACTGGGGACCACCGTGCAGGCCCACTCACATTTTGGGAATTCCATTCACTCCTTAGTTTGACAATGAAAACCACCTGATTTCTGAGCCACTTTCAAACGAATGTCCCTCTGCCCCTCCCACTGTAACAGGCACATGTCACATTTTAGTACAAAGGATACAGAACCCAGAAAGTAATTTAAGTCAGGAGTGAGGAGTCATCCACCTTCCAGGTATCAGAGGAGTTGTCCACAGAGAGCTCACTCCCTGGGCTTAAGCCTGAGCTAATGAGATAAAGGTCATGGATTCCATTTCCCTAAGGCCAGTTAGATTTGATCGGCTTTGAAGTCACAAACTGCTTTTCCTAACCCAGGATCACATTTTGCAATATATGTGATTGGTCATCAGTCTTATGGTAAAGGTGACTATTTATAGAAAAATTGTTTAAGTGAACAACACTAAAAATTGTGTTTTTTACTGAATTGTCTTACTATTAAATATGCATTGAATGATCAGGTGATTGTTACTTTTTGTTATTGTTGTTTTGTTTTGTCTTTGCCTTGGTAATGTGTACTCCAACTTTGGTTTCACCCAGATTCTTACTTTTTCGAGACAGGGTTTCTCTGTGCAGCTTTGGAGCCTATCGTGGCACTCACTCTGGAGACCAGGCTGGCCTCAAACTCACAGAGATCCGCCTGCCTGTGCCTCCCGAGTGCTGGGATTAAAGGTGTGTGCCACCAACGCCTGGCCTTACTATTGATATTTATAAGAGCTCCATTTGATCTTCCTCCAAATTAGGACTTCTTAAAACTTTTCTCATGTACAGCCCATTTTTGTTCCAAAATTTTGTATAGGACCTTGGATCTACTAGTATATAAAATAGGTACATAACCCAAGCATCTATTTATAACAAATTATAAAGAATTTTGTTTTAAAACAATTCTTTGATATTATAACCATACCATTTATAAGGATGAAAGCAAATTCGCATACTGATGTAATGAGTGTGCTTGTTTATCAGTACATCAAGAATGAAATCTCATCTGAATATTTAATATTGTAGGATGCAGAGCATCTCCATGATTTTCCAGAGTTTATTGACATTTAAATTTTATAATCATTAAAACTGAGAATGCCATTCACATAAATACATACTAAAAAAAATGGCAGGAATATTTTTAGGGCCATTTTAGAGATTTTTTAAAATTTTTTTCCTAATTCTAAGTCAAAATCCAAGTCAAAATTTACTTGACAATTTTTTTTATGAAACTCAAGTCAGCAATGCAAGTAGTAACTTTTACAATCAAACATTTTAGCAAAATATAATCCAAAAATGTACTAATTTGATACTTATGTGTAGCTTGAATTCTAGTTGTTCTTAATAATTAAAAACTCGGAGTCAGCTAATGGGGGTGGGGAGTGCTGAAAGATCAGAGAAGCAAAGCAGTCAACCACTAGCTCTTATCTCTATCTCAGACCTAAGGGTCAATCCTGTCCTCATGCTGCCTCCTCAGACTGACTGCCTCAGATGGCACTGCTCCTCAGACTGCTTCCGTAGGCTGATGCCTCAGAAACTAACTGCCTCTCTAAGAATGCTCTAGGAATCCTCTGATGAGCTCTCTCTCTCTTGTCTCCACCCACCTTATAGTCAGTCATCTCTCCACCCAGCCATATTACTCCTGTCTCCACCTCCCTAGTACTGGGATTAAAGCCATGTGATCACAGATGCCAGGATCACCTTTGTGTGAGCTCTGTTTCTCTTTTAGACAGATTCAATCTTGTGTAGCCCAGGGTGGCCATGAACTCACATAAATCCCTCTGCCTCTGTCTCTGAGTCCTGGGATTAAAGGTGTGTACCACCACTGCCTGGCCTCTACGGCTAATTAGTGTGGTTAGCTCTGCACTCTGATATTCAGGAAAGATTTATTTGTTAGATCATAAACAAGTATCACCATATTTATGTGCTGATGGATGATAGTAAAATGTTAAGTCTGTTTTCTGTAGTTATACCATTATGCTTATTTGAGAGCAAAAAGTTTCATCTGTATAATCAAAACATTGTAGGTCATTGAAAACGACAGTCTCAAATCTAAGCCTTGGTATTCCAGGTTGCCTCTTCTGGTATTTCACAGTGTAGGTGAATGCGTACTCAATGCAATGTACACATACTGTATGTTCAGGACAAAGGTTGCAGGGAAGTCACGAGCACATATGTGAGCACTTCCAGATATGGCTTCAATGCATGCCCTGCATGTTTGATTTTGAATTAATCTCTGGTTGTTGCATGATCAAGAACTGTGTGCTCTTACCAATTGTTTTGTGTATATGGCCTCCACGTTGAGTTATGTAACTCAAAGTGGAATTGCAATCCAGAGCTCCAGATGAGTTCTACACAACACTGAAAGCCTCTTCCAAGCCACTTTAATTTCAATCCTGATTCTCGTTCTTATGCCACATCTGCATATGTTACTAGCACAAAGCTTGTGATAGTGAAATACAATTGAAATTCTGAGAACATGCTAGAGGCCCCAGCACTTGGGCCACACAAAGGCATGAGGATCAAGACATTAGTGAAGACCCATCTGGACTGCATATGAGACTGTCTGAAAACTAACAAAGCCAAATTCAAGTATCTTAGTGGTAGAGCTTTCTGGCCTGGCACACAAAAGAGGAACACAATGAGTTACAAAGTTATTCTAATATGTTTATTAATGTTGGACGATTGAGACAAGCTAATTAACATATCCATCACTTCAGATTCTTTATTCACGCTCTCCTCTGTCTAACTGAAACACTGCATCCTTTGGCCCACATCTCCACATTCTCAGGTACTCCAGGCTCTGATTATCACCATTCTACCCTGCTTCTGTGTCAGGATTCTGTTAAAAGAACCTTTGATATTTATCTTTGTGTGCCTAGTGGATTACTTCTGGGTCATGATATTGTCTCAAATGAAATGTTCCCAGTTTTTAAGGCTGCATAGCGTTCCACTATACATAAGTGTCATATTTTCTTTTCATGTTTATTAGTGGGTTGATACAAGTTGATTCTACAAGCCAACTATTATCAATAGTGCTACCATAGACACAGGAGTGAGTGCAGTAATCTTCACATACTGTCTTCAAGTTCTTTGGGTATATACAGAGATGTAGATGGGTAGAACATGAATAGTTACAATTTCAGCAGTTTTTAGCACCTCCATCCTGTTTTCTGTAATGACGTTACAGGGTGACATTCCCCTGGTGTGCAAAGGATATGCTCCAAGTCCCGGCCCACAGTTCTCTTTCACTTTTTGATAATGGTCTTCCTAACACTGGTGTGGCAACAGCTAATTTTGCTGAATATTTATTTTGTATCTGTTGACTGTACATCTTTGTTTGAGAAGTACGCATTAAAGTCTTTTGTCAGGCTTCTGTCTGCTTGTTCTTGTGGTGTGCCTATCATCCAGAAGTGAGAGCCCAGGCACCATGAGCCAAGACAAAATCTTTACATCTCCCAGTGAGTATGCAATAAATGCTGATCAAACCATTGGCAGAAATACTAAAACACATATTATTATTCCACCCTCCCTTGTTCCTTTGTCACTGGTAACCAGACCATCGGTATCATGCCATAGGAGTATTCCTGGGTAACAGCTTCCTGAAAGTTGCTAAAAGCACATAAAGAGAGTGATGATGGAATCCATAGGCCCCATTTCAAAAGAGCTGTTGTTCAGAATATATAATCTTTATTCAGCACTTGTATTACACTTTACACTCTCTGGGCCTGTTCAAATTTTTAACTAAATATTTGTTTAAAGCATTCCCACATTATCTTTCTTAAGACAGATAACAGAGTCATGGTTCTAGCTGCTAATACCTATATTTTGAGTTTCAAAATGCTGACTTTATCATGTAAATCTCTCTCCTTCTCCCTCACCGTGTGTGTGTGTGTGTGTGTGTGTGTGTGTGTGTGTGTGTGTGTGTGTGTTGTATCACTCTATTGTGTAGAAGGCTGAATGGGGTATCACTGTAAGAGAAGAAGCAGAAGCAATCTGCAACTTACATTATACTTGTCTTGCACTTGGTTCTAAGTAGGAAACAATAAGAAGGTTTTAAGCTGAAGGTTTTCAATGGACTTAACATCTTCAAAGAAGGGAATTTTGAAATTTCATATTATATTATTTCACCATAGCTTAACAATTTCTCAATATTTTCCTATGACAAGATGTTCAGGAAAGTAGTTCTTGGGGCTTGAGGGATATCTGAGAACGTGAACTTAGTCCCCCAAACCCATGTAAAATGCTAGGTGTGGTGG